TTTATTTTTTGTTAATCCTCACCCGAGGATATTTTTGCCACTGATATTTTAAAGAGTGGGCGTCGGGGGGAAGAGAAAGGGAGAAAGAGAGAGAGAGAGAAACATCCATGTGAAAAAGAAACATTGATCGATTGCTTCTCGTGTGCTCCCTGACCGGGGATAGACCTACAACCTGAGTATATGCCCTGACCAGGAATGGAACCCGTGACCCTTCAGTGTACAAGACTATGCTCAAAGCAACTAAGTCACACTGGCCAGGGCAGACCTTGAAACATTTTATGATAAACAAAACTGCATCTCAACCATTCCTAGAGCCCCTTTGTTTGCTTCCAATTTCTTTATTCTGGTTACCCCGCTTTGGGTGAGCTGAGGGTGTTCTGTCTATTTTATCTTTTCATGAGTATTTATTATTCTCTGCCTCTTCTTTATCAAAATTCACTTCTTTAGTAAAATTGATTTTTTTAAAAATATATATTTTATTGATTTTTTATAGAGAGGAAGGGAGAGAGATAGAGAGTTGGAAACATCGATGAGAGAGAAACATTGATCAGCTGCCTCCTGCACACCTCCTACTGGGGATGTGCCCGCAACCCAGGTACATGCCCTTGACCGGAATCGAACCCGCGACCTTTCAGTCCGCAGGCCGACGCTCTATCCACTGAGCCAAACCGGTTTTGGCTAGTAAAATTGATTTTAACTAGATATTAAAAAGAAAAGAATTAGATACAACTAATTTAAGTCATGGTATGACTGACCAATAACATTATATCCACATCAAGTCATTCAGTATTTTTAATAGTGGGTGTTTATAAGCCCAAGTAGGTATTGACAGATATTTAACCAGTGAAACAAGGAAAGGCAGACATTTCCAAGCAGGCTATGTTAGAACTGAGCCAGGAGAGGAAACCATTTCTAAGAGAAAGGTTTGTCTTCTTTGAGCTTATCAGCCCTTCCCTCACATTTCTCCCTCTGGGTCTGCTTAATTCAACTCCAATAGACTATTTTGAAATCTGAATGCATCTTCCCACATAACTTCCCTTCCCACTGTGTCTTTGTGAAACTTATAGCCAAGGTCATATTTATAATATCAGCTTCTCTATGTTCTTCGTATTCGTTCAGAAATACCAGAGACCATGGACGTTATTTATTTTTCTCTCTTTTCTAATGTTCAAGCCTGTCAGAGCTCTTTAAAGGTCAAATGCCCACAAACATCAGCCATGAGGATTGTCACGATAGCAGGCATAAGCCCTAGATGACCATTTTCTTTAGGGTTCTTCTTTTTTTTTGGGGGGGGGGGCTTTTTTATTGATTCCAGAGAGGAAGGGAGAGGGAGAGATATAAACATTAATGATGAGAAAGACTCATTGATTGGCTGCCTCCTGCACACCCACTACCAGGGATCAAGCCTGCAACCCAAACATGTGCCATGATGGAGAATCAAACTGTGACCTCCTGGTTCATAAGTTGACACTCAACCACTGAGCCACAACAGTTGGGCAATTCTCTTTAGCTCTTAAGCTTCAGTTTCCTCATCTGCAAAATAGAAATAATATTTGAACCTAAGCAATTGAAATGTTGTGAGGGTTTAATGAAATAAAATTTATAAAGTTTTTATGTAGTGCCTAACACAATACAAATTGAGCAAGTAGAAAATAGTTCATATTGATGTCATTCTGTTCCCTCATTCCCCTCTGCCAACATTTCATTGGCTCCTGTATTTCCATGCTTTGCAACCAATATTTTTTTCACATTCAGAGGGAGAGGATTTGAAATTTAAGTTCTTCCAAAATTTCAATTTCTACCACTCATTACTCATAGGCCATCAGCTACATGGAGCATATCAACAGGTTTTTTGTGAAGATCTATAATGCAGTGCCTCGTGCTGGTTCATTCACTTTGCCACCTCCAAGGCTGCCTAGAACTTGCCATTTTCCCTCCAGAACATTCCTTTTCTATGGCAATTCCAGCTTCTTCCTTGGCTATTTCCCAGTGCCTTCCAGCCCAACTGATCCCATGGAAGACTTAAGTTTCTGGGAAAAGTACAGTCCACTCAGAAGGACTGCCAGAATATCCTCTCTCAGGCCAAAAGCATGTTAGTACAAGGCGTGTACTGACAGTAAGGGCCTGGAGAAATCCATCCAACTGGGAGAAGTGGTTTCTCTTCTGGGACACCCACTTCCAGCCCTATGTTATTTATACCCAGGCATGACTCCATGACTCCTGAGACATCTATCCTTGTGACCTCTCACTTTTAGGTACTATGCCCCGCTCCAGCGCACGTGCAACACACACA